CATTTATAGGATTATATCTCACTTTTTTTTTTTCCTGAATTGCTGTAAACTTATGTTTGAAGGTTTGCCTGCCCTGCTAATATTTCTGTTTTGCTGTGTTTGTAGTCCATACCCCTGACTGTATACAAGTGTCAAATAGCTATCAAGAAATACCGTATGACCACAAGAATTTACTGAAGACTTCCTTCCCTTTCTATCCTGAAAAAAATCAATCAATCAACAAAGTGTTCAAAGTACCAAATAAATGAATGTCATATCACATTTGAGTGTACTTCTTGAAGAAATAAAACTACTGTATCTGGCCTGGTTAATGGGAGAACTGTGCAAAACTGAATTGTATGTTTAGTCAACCTGGGTTGAAGATAAAGCTGACTCTCATAGCTCAATGAAAATAGTGTAAATAGTCTAGATGTTTTGCACGAAATGGATTTTTTCTTTATCTCTACATATGAGCAAAAAGTTTTCCAAATAATGTTAAGTAACGTTTTTCCTCTGAAGCTTGTCAAATTATTTTATGTGCATGCTTTCCATTGTTTCACCAGCTGTGGTCAAGTAATAACTATTTGTGGCTGTGAAAATTGCCTGTTAGACAGCAGTGAGTGCTGGGACAGTAGGGCTTGGCTTCGATAAGCCAAGATAAAATTTGTCTTGTCCATTTTTTCATGGCAGACACTGACCCAACTGGCCTGACCTCTTGCATCTTGCCCACAGCATCACATGTTTGTGTACAGGACATGTACAGGAACAACAAGGAGACCTTCACTGGAATCAGCTCAGGTGAGGTGCTCCATGGTGCACCGGACGGCTCTGGGATCTGCTCCACCACCAGTATTTCCTATGGGAGATGCTCAGCCACAATGTTTAACTCACAGAGCTCAACAGCATGGAGTCTTCATCCCAATGCTGACACAGTGGTGTGTCACAGTCCTGCTCCCCAGACCTGTCCCTTGACTGTAAGTGCTAATTGGTATCCTTAATTATTTGTTCAATTGGTAGATATCATAGAGCCAAGACTGTTCACAGCATTTCTCTTCCAGTGTGCTCCAGATTGATTGCCTTTCTGTCAGCATCTACTAAAGAGGCGTAAACAGTAGTGGGAAGATGGAAAGAAGCCCTGTACCCTACACTGCCTAAGTAGGTTGGGCACACAATAATTTCAGTGGTGTAGCAATAAAAAGGCTGCAGTTCTGGTTCTTATTTTTTCTGTCTGTAAACAGTTTTAATGTAGTTTTCCTTTCATTGCATAATGTCCGTATTTGCATATCTCCCAGTATTTCCATTACGCACATTATGAAACATGGGTAGATGCTCTTTTTCCCAAAACAGACCTGTGATCAGCAATCTGAACTTTTGGATTTTTGAATGGCCTGTATCTGTCAGGCCAGCCGTGTGACATCAGGTTCACATCCCCTTGCTCAAACTTACATGCCCTCATAGCACACGCTGTCGCTGGTGTGAAGTATTTTTGCATATTTTTAGAAGAGTTTAATTTAAAAGGTGCTATTCTTTATCAAAACGTCAAACACTTCACAGCTTTACCTGCTGAGCCCTCTGTGCCCGTGGAGGAGAGCATGCAGCACAGCCCCTGGGAAGGGACCTGGTGAGCCACACTGCAGCTGCAGAAGAGCAGAAGGGTTGGATACAGCATGGAGAGAGCAGAAGGCTCTTCTCCTTCTGGAATCCCCATGTCTCACCCCCTTGATGCACAGGTATGGCTATTCTGACCCTTGGGCTCCGTTCTGGTTAGACTAAATGAGAATATTATGCATGAAAATTTTTATGCATGAGAGGCCAAAACTCACATTATTAATCCACTAAACCTTGCTGTAAGACAGGGGAGTTTGCAACAAACACAACAGCAGATATAATTATTGAGTAGGAATGGCCTTCTAATTACTTAGACAAGATGAGGCCCTGTACCAGCAGCCCCACAAGTGCTCCAGTGACAGGAAATGCAAACATGGCCTCTTGCAATGCCTGCCTTGGCCTTCCCCAACCACTCTCACATGTCCCCATCACCCCAGGAAACCAAGCCCGATGGTTTTCCTGTCAGCCCCTCAGGATTCTCCTGCAACACCAGCAGCTGGGAATCCCTCAGGTAGTGGCTTGCTGAGCAATTTTATACAGATGTAAAGAGAAGAGGCCATGTAAAGGGTGAGATGACAGGCTTACTAAGACAAAAGCTAAAATACTGGGAAGGTGTTAAAACCTAACCTGTGTGAAGTTTCATTCCAGCTGGGCAGTTACTCCGCTGGAAAGCAGGGAGAGGCATCCAGCCAGAGGCCATTTCACAGGGCGTCTTTATGAAGGCATTTCTCCAGGTGTCTCCACAAGGACTTAAAACACCTTGAAGCCTAGCAATGGGAGCCATCCCTTCCACCAGTGTGCTGGGGATCTTCTCAAGGACCTCATGTTCCATGTCAGCTGCCTGCCAGCCAGCAAAGGGAACATTTGGGAGAAATTGCTCTGACCTAGCTGGGAACCTTCCCTTCTTCAAGGCATGCTAATGAAGCCTGACACTGGACTTGTCATAAAGGCCTGCAGGTCTATTTCTGAAACACAGCAAAGTCAGCTTCAAAGTTGGCTAGACTAGTTTTTAGAAGTACCAAAGTCTGCAAAGCTGTGGATGATTTGTCCATCCAACTGCCAGCAATGCCCCTTCTTTCAGTTGTAACCCATGCCTCTCCCACTTGTGCAGTGGCTCATGACAGTATTTCACCAGCAGTTTGCTGTTTGCACCTTTCTGCTCTCGAAACAAGAAGTTTCCAGCAAATGCCTCTAAACATCAGTTCTTACATTGAACAGTGTCTTCTTGGCATGCCTGCGGTGTTAAGAGAATGGGCTATTTTTGAGAAGACATACGGGTTGCTCGTCCCTCTCTTCTGTTCAAGTATATGCCCTCCTGACAGTCCTGAAATGCTAAAGACCATTCTTTTTTTTTAATGTATCAAAGCATCTTCTGCATTATTAGCGTGGTCACATAATTATCCCCAGAGAAACTTACACCCATACATTAACACCCATAAATTATTGTGTAGATGTCTTTTATACCTTCATTTTCAGCTTCTGGGAAAGATACATCATTGGATACTTAGTACAGTAATTGCTTTCAAACATGTAAGCTGCCTATGCCTTGGGTAAAATGTTCAGGAGGCAGAGATGTGCTGGCAGGGTCTGCTACAACCTCAGTGCAAGCCAAAGCCTAACTGTGCTCAGAATGTGATGCAAGAATATGATGCACTTTTCATATTACACAAGAGATTTAAAAAAAAAAAACAACCAACAAATTTAAAGATGAGAATGTAAAGGAAATGAATTTGTATTAGGCAAAGCACGGGAATACATTTTCCATAGTGTGGGGCAGAGAGCCAGATCTCAGATTTCAAGCTAGGGTATCAGTCTTTGATAGATAGCCTGATACCCTGAGCATATATGAACATATATTTGAACAATAACTGTATCTGACACTTTCCTATTCGATCAGATATATCAGATTAAAAGCCTGCTCTGTTGAATATTCTCAGAATTCTTCAGCAGTAAAAGCTGCTGCGAATGGCATCTGAAGCCATTGTCTTTCAGATTTTGGCATCAGGAGGTAGTTTGTAATAAAATTTTTTAATGCTTACCTACTGTTTTTAAATTATTTGTTCCAGTATTATATGCATATTTGATAATTTTACTCAAATTGTTAAGTACAAAACATTAGGATTTGAAATATATACGTTGATTCTTAAGCAACTGTTACATTTTTATTCGAATAAATCCCCTTGATTTTATTTTTTTCAGTTGAGTTCAAGTATCATTTTTACATGAGGTAATTGGTGGCCATTCTGCATCATCTGCAAATCAGGTAAAAGCGAGGAACATCTTTCCCCTCCTTTCACCATTTTGCAGCCTAAGAGCTGCAAGCTAAAAATTAAATATTCAAAACTTTACCAGAGCAGGACAGAGTGTTCAGTGTGACCTGCTGGAGTGCTCGTGGTTGCTGCAAGCAGTTCACTGTAGTACACTTGTCCTAGCGTTGCATAATTTATTAATCATAGAAATTGTGCATGCAAATCAGCCACACTGTCGTGCTTCATCATATACTAACTAGTATATTTGTTTTTACATGCATTAAAGCCCTCAGATAATAATGTCTCATTATAGCAGTGCGCCTTTTCTCTGTCGCCTTCTGAAACCTGTCAATTGTTTGCTAAAAGCCACATCGTTGAGCATGCTGGGGTTTTGCCATTGTTCCTATACTTCTGACTCCCCAAAGTGTGGCAGTATTTAGCTCCAGGGCTTTTTCTGTGTCTCGATTTTTGCAGGTTTCCTTTTTAGGCTAAGGTTCTGTCAGCCAGAAATCAAGATTTCTATAGTGCAATTTTAAAACTGTATTCTGGCACCCGTGTGTTTATGCTCGACACCACTGCCCACCCATTCACGCAGAGGATTAAGAACACCAACTCGGTGCATGTTTCAGAAACTGTTTGCTTCCTTCCCCTAGCAGCTGCTCCATTGCTTATACTGATCTTGTAATCCTTCCTGGGCATTGCACAAATGAAATCTGCGTCTTCTCTTGCTTTCTATCTACTCCAATTAATTTTTTGCATGAAAGTAAGATTTTCAAGGGGAGAACAAGAGACCTAACTATTTTGCGTGAGATATTTTGTGAGGAAAAAGCATAGAAGAAATGTTGTGCAACAAAGACAGACTATTGCTGTAGTTTTGTTTCCTACTGCCCAGGAACCTGCCCTCCTCTTTTCTGCCAAATAATATGGAGAACCAGAGAAATCAGAATGAGAGAACTCAGAGGAAAACTCAGAAGAGTGAAGAGGACAACAGAAGGTGAGCCAAGAGAGGAGCAGAAGGAACATTAGGGTGGGAGACATCAGTGGAGGCCAGAGACCTTGATTTCAATCACAGCAAGCCATTAAGAGTTAATCATGCAGAAATATAGTCAACTATCTGTTTCACTTACTGTGATAGCTGCTGAGTATTTATCTGTTTAACATGTATAACCTCCACAGGCTGAGCCACAGAGAGAAAAAAAATGAGAAGCACACACTGAAGTGACTTAGCCAAGTATTAAAAGCCAAACAAATCCTATCACCTGGAGAGGAAGCAGCTCCCTGTTTGTTACCAAACTTCCAAGAGGTGGGGTGAGGCAAAATCAAAAGCATTACATATATAAAAGTAGGAGGGAGCAATTTACAAGCCAACCTAAATAGTTTGAACAATGTCTTTGAATAACATGCTACTTTTTTCTTTCTTTTTTAAAAAAGGAAGCTACAATTAAGATTTAAAAACCAATAAAAACGCAGTGAAGATGGAGGTGCAGAACATTTACAAGATTAATTGCAGACTGTTTCATTATGTGTGACACTATAACTTAATTCATTCTCATGGAATTCAGATAACTGCAGGCAAAAAAGGTAAATACAAATACAAAAGAGCATAAACTGTGATAAGCAAACTGATGCCTTTAACACTTTGCTCTTGGCATTGTTATTACAGAATTTGTAATAAATTTTGGCCTTTTATTCTCACAGAAAAATTAAAGGTCTTTAGGAATTTCCCCAGTTTTGTACATTCTTTGGTTCTATCTCTTCCTACATCCTGATGCAACTTCATTCTCTAGCACTAACCAAGCCACCAGTACTTGGCCCTGCACTGAGTCAAAGCCAGCAGGCATTACTTACTGTCACTTGGCTCATTGTGGCCCACTGCTTGGTAGCCTCCCAGTCTTGGATTCCACAGAGAGGAATAATGGTAGTGCAGAAGCTGAAGCTCTTTAAAAAGTGTCCTCGTAATGTCAGAGGAGGAGCTAGGCGTAAGGGGTTGGCTTCATAAATGCAAATATTTCATAATTTATTTAGTAATGTGGCTTTTTTTTTTTCCCCCTAGGCAAAAGCTTTAATAAAGGAATAGTTCTACTGCAACAAAGGAAATGAGCAAGAAGAGAGATGAGGACACATCCTAAGTCCACTAATGGCGGTGGGAATTTGCCTTCATCTTCAGTGGGAACATATTTTCAAAGACATGGGAATCATCCATACAAACGGGAGGATAAAATCTGAACCTTCCGTGGTCTGTGACACAAACCAGAAGATGGCCCCGACACAGTGGAAACGTGCCCAGCAGGAGTTTCACAGCCAGGCTTGACCACAGTCCTATGTGTGGTGCCGGCTGCTGGGCTGGACGTCATCACGGCCGCAGGCACAGGCAGTGTCTGTGGTAGAGCCCTCCCTGAGGCCGGGCCAGGCAGGAACCAGGCAGAGATGCATCCCTCTGGTGAACACTGACCCTCTTGCTGATTATGGGTTTACCTTCAATGCCCTACATTTGGGAAGAAGAGCAGCGTGGACAGCAGGAATCTTCCCCAGGGAGATTCAAAATCTTCTTCAAGGGCCAAGAACTCTTCCTGGGTATATGCTGTCTGCTGAATGGCGCAAAAAGCCAAAGCAGGAAAGTCCAGATGAAGGAACCTCATGATCTCAAGCACCTTTTCTTTTGGTACTGGCACTACACAGCAAAGTAGACATTAAAATAACAGAGTTGCCACTCTTCTGCTAGCAGAAGCATTCATCTCCCTCTCATCCCTTTGATCTACTCCTTCTTCCACTCCCAGGATTGCACTACGTCAACTCTTTGTGTGATAGTGTGCACACCAGGACCTTGTTGTACTCTTGAAGAGTGAGTTCATTTGCCCCATGAACACATGGCCTCTGTAGTTCTGTTTGAGCTCTTTAAGAAAAAATCCTCCATTATCCTTGATTATCGATCACCAAAATATGTCTGATAGGATAGACCCTTCCAAATAACCAAATTGTGCAGAAAAAAATTCAGAAAAATGTTCTATGGGAGTATGCCCCCTAAGGAAGAAGGCTTCTTCGTAACAACTCATAAAGTTATGTTTCTTATTGGATCTGTGCTGCCAGTCCATTGCAGTTCTCATAAAGAAAAAAATCACAAGTATTTTCTCAATAACCTCTTTAAAAGAAATATATTTACCATGTGCTGTGTTCTACATGGCATTGATTTTCAGTCCCTAGGGATAAAGATGTCTATGAGCAACCTTTAAGAGAGTCACAGATATGACTAAACAGTGCATGTTCATGTATATTTTCTAGGTATTACATTTCTTAAGGAAGCCCATGCCTCTATTGGAAAACTGAAAGAAATTTCAAAAGCTGTGACTTCTTTGCAAGTTAGAATTTTATTCCTATATTGTATGTCAAAATATCAATTTTTATTTGATTTTTTGAGAGCTTTGCCAAAGATTCTTCAGGAATTGCAAGACAACTTACAGTTTCAATTCTTTTTTTTTTTTTTTTTCCCCCAAGAAAATGCAGTATTTCTTTAATACTGAACTCTGTTGGTTTCCAGTGCCCTTACTTTTAACTATCACCTTGTATAAAATCAGTGTAAGAAATGAGAAATGAAGCATGTGGTTTAACTGCTTTTAAATTCATGAGTAGTGCTACTACGTTTTGTGGGATTAGTTTGATAGTCCAAGTAAAATAACTGTCAGCTAGACAGATAGTGCAATAAAGGTGAAACACACTATTGCTGATAAGAAAGTAACCTTTATTTCATGGTCCCAGACTTCTAGCATATGAGCACAGTACTTTGTGGGATTGAGTGGCACTCACCAACATAACACTGCTGAGCACAAACAACTTGATTAGATTAGTTAAGCCAATGTGGAAGAAGCAAAGTGGAACTGAGCAGCTTTGTGGCCCTGATCAGGCATAATATAAGTGCAGTTTTCTCTCTATATGAGGGAATTTCACGTATTAGGGCTAACAGCATTTGGAGCAAGTCCACTGTAATTTCAGTGTAGCATCGGATGAAGCATGGCAATAAATTCAGCCAAGTAAGAAACTGGGAGAGTTAAACTCTTGACAAATTTACAAAAGCACTGCACAAATTCTGTGTGTACTTGTGCAAGGTATTGAGCAGAAAAGAAATATGTTTATTCTAAGAGGATACAGGTGTGGCTACTACTACTGTGTACCAAAGATATTTTTTAAAAAATGAATCCTGTTGATGCTATTGGTTTGAAGCAATAATTAGACTGGCATCAAGTTTGAATGATAACTCCTGCTGTCTTCACACAGATTTTCTAAGTTTGTGATACCAGTTCTCAGGAGCTCTTTAGCAAAGTTCTTATGTTGCCAGCATCACTCCCTCAGAAGAAACTGGTAAAAGGGTGAGTCCTGGTTTTCAGTACCTTCTACAGACTGGTCTTCAAAAGTGAAAGCTTTTTTAAAAGTGATCTTTCATAATTACAGTTGAAAATGATGTGTTTGCCAAGTGCTGAACAGCTTTGAAAACTGGATCTGATGTGTTCAAGGTAAAAATAAAGGTTTAAGCCTGTAATATATTTCACATTTAGAAGACTTTTGCGTATACTCAGAATTGGAACTTATGTTTTCCTTTTTATAGAAAGAATAAGTGATACTTTTTTCATTATTGATACAGTTTTGTAACTTAGTGTTTTGAATTATCTATTTTGATTTTTCTCAGGAGAAAGTTGTCTCTGCAGATGCCCCAGACTCTGCCAAATGATTGGCTTTCTATCCAGTTCAGTCATTTACTTCTGTTACATGTTTTAGACATCCATTTTTCCATCTTAAAACATCCAAGATTGTCCATCTTTACACATCCATTATTCCATCTGAACTTCAATTGCATGTTTTTTCGTCTGCAGGCTTATAAAAAACAAACAAAAAACACACACACTTGGACTGGAAGGAAAGCACATGTATCAGAACAGACTTTTGGATTTGTTTTACTTCAAACACACACAGCATCATGTCCCCAATGGCTTAATACCGAAGAGCACTTTAGAAAGTCATTTGTATGGATTTATGAACATGCCTCATATAAAAAGAAAGGTACAACTGAAGAGCTCTAATACTGTAAAGAAATCCACTTAAAAGTGAAGAAATACAGGAATGTCTTTAATCACCCACTGGATAGTCCTTCATTTAGTGTACAAGATCTTCAGCATTCTCGGATAATGGATAGGAGCGTTTTGCTGGTTTTTAATTCTTTTTATTAAATGTACAGTCTTCTGTTCTACTTATTCCTCATTAGCCAGCTCCTTCCCAGGAACTAACTCCATCCTGGAGGTTGACATGTTTAGCATCCGTGAAGCATTATGGTTCTCACATTTGGTCTAGGATTACCCTGGCTTTATGCGAAGGTTTTACCAAGCAGCAAAGCTTTTCTTAAAAACCAATGAAATGCTTTTTTACTCTAAGTACATCATTTGGTTTCAGCCAGGCAGTTTCCTGATAGTAGTATAACAGATTGTCTTTTCAGAATCCCAGTAGGTGGAAGCTTGGTTTGAGAACGCACTGGGACATTTGGTAGCACTGATATTTTACGTCACAACTGTTAACAATTCTTGAAAGTATAAGAAGTATTTAAAGGCCAGGTGGTTCAGGAAGCTGGCAGTGGATTACGAGGCAGCAAAATGTGGGATAACAAAAAAGGTAAAGAGAGTTGTCTGCTGCAGCTTGCCTTTTGAAACAGGACAGATGGGAACAACTCATGCACACAAACATGATGAGGACAGCACAGAGCGGTGGAGTGCCTGCCCCTTCCTGAAACAGGATCATTCCTAAGGAAACAGCCTAGGGGTGAGGACGCAGGATTGACATCTTGCCTGAAACAACAGGATTATCTTGTTTCATCTCTGCCATCAGGCATAAGGAATGAAAGATCCTGAGCCCGAAGGACAGCAAATAATTGCTCCCCACACAAGATGGACTGCTTCCTCAAGAGGTGTTGTAAAGGAAAAGCTTCTCTCCATTCAGTGCAGTGACGTTCGTCCTTGTCAGGATGACAGTCTGTTCCCAGGACCACCAAGCAAAAACACAGCTGAATGAACAGGTAAGAAAAAAATTGCAAATATCGGTGCCAGCCTGGATTTTTATACATGCAGTCTGAGAAGTTATATATTTTGTTGTAAAATAATCAAGCAGAATGATGTGCTAAAAACCCTCAACAGAGATCTGTGATGAGATTACATTCACCTTAACTATTCTAGTTAAGTTTTTAAAAAGTGGAAGAGAACTTGGTCTTCAAACAGCTGTGTTGGATCCTCCATTTTTCAGTGATTGTGGTTGGTATCATATCAACAATATCAGCCCTGCAGTTGTGTAACAAGATAATGATACAAGTCTTAGGGTTGAAAGTTGGAGGTGCTGGTAGGATGACAACATGCCACCACCCACATACAGTAAGAAATAATTGGGATTAGGTGAGGCTGCAGTCAGACATGAAAATTAAAAATATTATTTATTAACAACCGAAAGAACAAATTAAACTAGATTTAAACTATTTAATTAGATTAAATTTAAAAGTCTGAAGTGATTTCTATGATCTTCTAGTCTGACTTCTTGTATAATAGAAAGCTGATTGTCCTGAATTAGCTCCTTTTTTGGACTGGATTGCATTATTTAAAAGAGAAAACATGAGATCTCGATATAAAAATTAACATAAAAGCTACAATAATGCTGGGTAACTCTCTCAGTGGTCAGTTATGGTAAACTGTAAATTAAGATTGTTGTTCTTGGATCTTTGTCTGCTAGATTGAAGCTATGTATTTTCAGAGGCATGTAAGAGCCCTCGTTAACTTTCTCTTTGATAAACTCCATGAACAGAAATCTTTGAACCGTACTTCAGGAGCGTATGCTAATCCTTTAATCATGTTTCATGTTTATTCTATAAAATCTTACAGATTTTTCATTGTTCTTTTTGACTTGAGAACACAGATCCCAAGTATGTTTTTCATCAGCAGCAGATGCAGAGGATATATAAACCTCCCTACTGTTTCTCAATATTTTCTTGCCTAGGCAATCGAGAGTTAGATTCTCTGTTTTAGTCACTGTACCAGAGAAGTAGCTGTTATGGACCATTACAGTCTCCAGCTCCTTTTCTCTGACTGCTTCCCAGGAGAGCACTCCATGTGAGATTTTTTGTAGCCTTGTTCTTCTTTCTAGATTTAGTCTAATTTATCTCTGTAACGCACAGAAGAGAAGAGAAGAGAAGAGAAGAGAAGAGAAGAGAAGAGAAGAGAAGAGAAGAGAAGAGAAGAGAAGAGAAGAGAAGAGAAGAGAAGAGAAGAGAAGAGAAGAAGAAAAAAGAAAAGCTTTCACACTTTTTTTCTAGAAAAATAAGGCAGAAGGGGACTGCTCGGAGGTTATTATTATGAAATATATGTGAAAAAGGAAACTGAGGACAGAATGGGACTTCTGAGTCCCGTATTGGCACAAGCAGTACATTTGAAACTGAATTGCAGAGTCCATGCCTAGATGCTTTACCAGCTGATGGATACGATTCTGGTATCAGACAGAATGTTGTAATTACATTTCAGGTGCATTTAAAACTAATGTTATTCTGCTGGTGAAATAAATGAATAGGAATCAACCATTAAGCCTTCTCCTATCAAAGCGAACCATGTTGTATTTTCTCTTCATTAATAATTGCACACAACCCTAGAAGATAAAAGTAAAGCCATTGGAATTATAGAAGAAGGAAAATATTATCTTAGCTAATGCATCCTTGTCATCTTGTACAGCAGCTTTGACTGAAATGGTGTTTTTTTTATTCTGCCCTCCGTCTCTGACATGAATAGCTACACACCTCAGCATCAGTCTGTGCATGCTGGATAGAGCAACAAACTTGCTGAACCACGTCCAAGCGAAGGAACAACTGTAATAAGAAGTGTAACTTAAAACCAGATTTCAGAATGACTTTTGTTTCTTTGTTCAATCAAATCTTACAAATCTTAGATCTGACAAGCTTCTGCTGTAAAATGTTATAAAACAGGCTGAAATCTAGGCCAGGGCTAGGGGCATTCCTGGGAAGCTCGCTGGATTTCCTGGAGGGCTAGGTGTGGTTCTGTAAGTAGGAGGTTAATGCCAGTGATTTTCTGTTACTAGTAATTATGTGCAGCTTGAGTTACATTAATAAGAGCTACATATGCATACTGGAAAAAAAGAGTTTATCTGACACTGAGATTATTACATGTTGCTAGTTAACAATGTTCATTACCTTTGTTATTTTGTGATTAGCACTTATAAATGCCCAAAACCATGTTCATTTTTTACCAACACATAAGAAAAAATGTTCTGTCATTGAGAGTTTAAAACAGAGGGATGTCTCCTGATATATATTCCACCAGTCTTTTTAATATTTTAGAACTAATTGTCCTTGCCTTGTTGTAACTAAACTCAGTCATTTTGCTTTTTGTTACAATTCCTGCCAAGTATAGATATATGTTTCCCAGAAAGTTATCCCGAGGTGAAAACCCAACATGGAAATATCAATCTTAAGAGATTTCATAAACTGATAAAGAAAGGAAGCAGAATCTTAGCATAGGAGAAGGGCTGGGCAGCCTCAAATAAAAGTGACTCTACCTTTCTAGTGAATAGTCACCAAAATTGAGCAATAAAAGGGGAAAAGAAGAAATGACATTGTAGTCTAGCTAGAAATGTCTTTTAGCCTGATTTCATTAAAAACCCATTCACTGCAGCCTCTATCAAGTACTGTATGAATACTATGATAGATATTCTAAAATTACAGTAGTTTTTTAAAGTATTTTTGTTCCTTTGTTTGTTTCTTTTTTTGCTCCATTGTGATGTTTCACAGTGTCATAGGCTTTTCATGGCATCGCAGCCCCGGAGGAAGCACTGATTCTCCAGCCTGACCTTTTGCCCACGGTGGGTGATAGAACTGACCAAGTGAGTGCTGCGTAATTTCTGCGGGACCTACAATACCTCCTTTGGAAAAAAATTCACCTTTAAAGATTTCACATGACAAGCAACACTTCACAGGCCTTTTTTAAACCAGAAATGTCTCTTATCTCAGCTTTCAACGACTGCATCTTTTAAAAGGTTTGTCTGCTAAACTGAAGATTGCTATGGTGACAACTATTCTCCTTACTGAGGCGATTTCACATTCTTTAGCTCTTGTGTGATTCAGTGATGGGCTAGAGATAAGGGTTTTAAAGTCTCCTCAGTAAGGGCAGTTTCTAGATACGTCTGTTTAGCCACTTCCTGTTTGCCAGCCTTTGCACAGATAGCAGACCAAGACGTACTGTTCCACCAGTAGAATCCTTACTTAGTACATACATGGTGCTCCCCACGTTTGTACACCCAAGGACTGCATTTCTATGTGCTCTTAAATGCCTGTCTGTGTTGCTACTCTTCATATCACAGTCCTCCATCAGATAACTGATCTACTTATTTCTTTCCTAGAAATATCAGCTTGTAATTAACTGTATTAGTTTGCACATTGTTCACATTAGCTTATCTTCCTTAAAGTTCTGTTAACACTGCAGAATCTATCCTTATTATGTATCACTTGACAGCTTCTATCTGCTATGTAAATATTAGCTTATAAATTTTGAAACTAATAAATGCTTCTTATTAATGCTTCCAAGTAGAAAATGTTCCTGAGTCTTTTTTGCAGTTGAAAATGTAAAGTATCTACTAAGAGCCGAACAGCAAAATAGCCACATACTGAAATATAGCAAAATAGAAGCATAATTATACAATATACCATGCTTAATTGTTGATAATATTTGTTGATTCCATGGAGTTAAGAGAGATCTACAAGGGGAAAAACACTTGAGGTATTCTACTCCATTACAAAATAGTCCCATTATTTCTACAATAACATCTATAAATCAATTTGCATCAATTTTGGAAAAGGAGAAAACTCTTAGATGTAATCTACACAAGCAGAGAAACAAGCAAAGCTATTTGCTAAATTCAGCTCTGTTTATTACAGAGAAAATATTACCATACAGCACAAGCATGCCTAATATAAAATATCAGGAAATCACAATCTCTCTGTCATGTAAGGAATCACACTCTAATAAACTCTTCCTTCTTCAGTATGTGGAGGAATATTTTATTAGGGTACCCCAAGCTAAGTGTAATTGCCACCAGTAGAAAAATTCTTCTGCATCAAGGACCAAATCCCCCAAGAAACAGAAGATTTTCTACATGCCCACAAAGTCAATTAAATATTGTCATTAATTGCCTTTTTCCCCCCTTTTTTCTCTTTCTCATTTTTTCTCTTTCTCCTCTTTTTGTTTCTCCTCTTCTTTCTTTTTCTTCTTTCTTTTTCTTTTTCTTTTTTTCTTTCTTTTTTTTTTTTTTTGGCTAATGTACAATTAATGCATTATCTAGTAGTTTTAATCTACTAGCTAACTAGAAATGATGACAGATTTGTGGGAAATCAAACACCCAGTATTCATCAGGCTGATCTACTCAGATTAAAATAATGGCTGGCTATAGCATCTTGATAGGTCTTGTGGGAAGCAATTGTTTTGATGTCTGATGTATTTACATGTTTAAGGTTGTGTTGAAATCCATACATAAGCAGCTTCTAAATCTTTTTTAAAACTCTAATGAGCTTTAAAGTTGGACAGTTAAATGCAGTAGTCAAGGGAATTTTCATAGTATTTAAATAATATATTTACAAGTTGGTTTTTTTTTTTTTGCAAGCACGCCACATAAAATGCCTTCCTTTTAAATGTTCTGGCTTGCTTCATTTTTCTTTAGATAACTTTTGCTGTTTCAGACTTCCAAACATTTGAATTCTTCTCACGCACACTTTTTTGCACATTCTGAGATGTTAGATGTTTCACCATTGGAATGCGTAACAAATCACTTCTCTTCACATGATATACCAAGAGAGTTACACAAAGCTGAATTGCTGCAACTTTAAGATGAGCAAGAGGGAAGATCCAGGGAGCCACAGGTCTGCCAGCCTCACCTCAGTCTCCAAGATGATTGTGGAGCAGACGCTCCTAGAAGCCATTTCCAAGCATTTGCAGGACACAGAGGTGACTGGGAACAGCAAGTGCAGTGTGACTTTACCAAGGACAAACCTTTGGTGGGAAGGTTGGCTCAGCAGAGAAGAGCTGTGCATGCTGTTTACCTTGAGCATTACCTTGAGCAGGCTAGAAGAGCATTGTGAGAGACTGATTTGTGAAATATGGAGTGGATCAAAGGGGGGGTGTGCAGTTGGATGGGCTGTTGGGTTCGATGTGTGGTGATCAGCAGCACAAACAGAACTGTCTGTTTTTAAGGGTGCTCATCACAGACCCGTAAAAAGGCCCAAATAGTTCATCTCCTCATCAATATCTGAACCAGTGCACACTCAGCAAGTTCTTATTATTATACCTATTTTGAGGAGGGGTGTGTGTGTCAATAGGCTGGCAGATAAAGCTGCTGTTTAGAGGAGTCTTTGCTTTTTTACCGTTGTTTTCTTTCTTATTTGAAAGATTTTTTAACATAAAAACCATAAAAAGCAGGAAGACCAACGAAATTCTAAAAAGCTAGGGCAATACAGAATGAAAATTGACCAAGAAGATTTCATTTGGTCTTCTTAAGCATCTATACTATAACAAAAACTTTAATTTTAGGGACTGACACTTAGTCTGCATTCCTCATGCAGTCTTGAGTCTTCTAGGATCTGATAGCTGGAATGATTCTGAACGTAGTGAAGTGTTCCTTGAACCTTATAATAGCTGTGGCTTTAATGTATGATACTAAGTATTCTCAAAATATCCAGCTTTGGGTGCTTCACTCTGGGCTTTGTAAATGCATAGATACGTAGATACATTTTCCTTTGGCAGACCTGTTTCATTTTCCCACCTGTATGATAGAGCTAATACCTTCTTCCCAATATGCAAGTATCAAATGCCACAAAGAAAAAAAAGTCTTGGAAAAGCATATTAAAATAATAATTGATTTCCATATTGAGTTATGGAATTAGTACAGACATTCAGAGCACTTAAAAAGATCTAGTGTTCAGCCTGAAATGTTAGATAATACCTAGCCTCACTGAGCGTGATCCCCATTTATCCATTAGAGAGATTGCCCTAGGTGATTGAAAATAGTGATTAAACTCTGGAAACAAGATCCAGTAAGGAATGCAAGCCTGTAAGCCTGTAAGTCCTAAACAGATGATCCAGAAAACTACCCACGCAGTTCCTGCATATGTACGTTGTAATTTTACTTTGCTCCCCTATGTAATGTTTCCATTTGGTTCTGGGTATGCCCAAGTCTGGGAGCAGTCTGGAAGTAGCTATGTGGCTAAAAATTTATTTCATGTGATTTATTTATTTCAAGAGATTTTCTGCAGCAGAGATCCTTGACGCTATGGTGCTATGTAACAAATATCACAAGTCTAAGCTCTCTAGAACTAAACACAACACAGGCTTTCTCTCAAAAAGTGATGATATCACTCTTAATTTTTCATATGTCAGCACAGCAGCAATAGATCAAATAAGAAGAATTAAGAAAGTTCTCAGTTTTGAAAAACCTAGGGGTTTGTGGCTAGATTGTTCCATTGAAAAGAAAGATGTGAATCTCTGTCTGCAGAGGCTGGAAAGTCCTGTCTCTTGTGTCATATGTGAATTCTTTAAGTTTGGAAATACCAGTGAAAGAAAGCTACTGTCATGTAGCAGGAAGAAAGCCTGTAGGTTATATCTCTCTTTACACAGAGACAACTGTTTTGTTTAGAACACTGCATTTTCTAGGGCATTTTTTTCAGTAAAGTGAATCTTGCAGAAAAGTAATACATGCTGTCTATGTTCAGCTAATGAAATTAGGAATAAATTAAAAGAAAAAAAGAGAGAGAGAGAGAGAGAGAGGGAAAAAATAGCAAGATACAAATAAAAATGATGCTTCCACTACTGCAACTCAATCAGTGGTAATTTAAGTAAAGGTTTGCTCAAAAAAATAAAAAAAAATAAAGAATATTCTGGTCAAACTTCTTTGAAGAAATTAACAGCATGCATGTGTTCATTACTTCAGCTTTCTCTTGAAATTCTAATTGTACCCTGTGATCTTACTTTACCAGGACCACAGTATGTTTCCGGTGTCTTTCTACTGCCCCTCCCTTGCCATAGGAAGTTCCTGTATTATTGTGTATCATTATTTTGTTCCTGTGAGTCCTTGGAAGCCTATGAATAATATTAAGAAGTTGTCTTCCCTGTGCTAGGAAAGAGAGTGTGTTTTTGTCCACATGTTAGCAGCCACTGAGCTTCATAGAGTCATGACATACAGGTAATGATTCCAGTTGAATCTGAAACTACAAATAGCTCAGAATTCCCTGCAAAACTCTACTAACAGCAGTGATTACGAATCTCTATTAATGATTTTTTTTAGAGCCACACTTGCAGTCTCTAATATTTGAATCAGCTGATGAGATAAAATTACAGACAGTCCTTAGTATATTCCCAACTAAATCCTCCAAACCTTAATTACCATGGAAACTACTTATCCTTAAGGCACTACAGATAGCTGATTTTTTTAAATTTAATTTTATTTTTTTATTTTTGGACAAAAATGGCAGTGAGATCATAAAAATTGGGTCTGTGTGTAATGAGACCTTTGATCTTCCATCTACTCCTGTGTTAATTAGAAATAACCTCAATGAAGCAAGCTGAGTTACACAGTATAATTAGTTTACACAAGAGAAGCAGATTTGATGTGTTGTCCAGTTCAGTTTTTTCCAGGTCTTTTTCCATTAACTTCATGCAATTGTGTTAATACATTTCTTTTTCACTTCTCTATGAAAATAAATTGAAAATGGAAGATATTATTTGTATACAAAAGTAGTAGACATACCCATGTTTTGAGACAATTCTAGTAATAAATGGAACTAATCAGTCCCACTGAGGAGCAGTACTTAAACTGCGTTTACGTTACAGAGATCTGCATTTCCAACTTTATGTGTATTTCATCTCTGACTGCTTGCAGGGAGTCTCCTGTTTCATTTTAACATAAATTTTAACAGCTTTTAATTGAACAAAAGTAATTTGCAGTCAAGTTACTATCAAAAGCCCAGGAACAGGCTGCCCAGCAAAGCTGCAGATGACAGCCTGCCACTGTGTTTGAAGTCAGGCTGGCCAGGGCTCTGAGCAGGAGGTGTCCCTGTGCCTGACAGAGGGTTGGACTGTAAGATCTTTAACATCCCTTCCAACTCAAACCATCCTATGGCTCTGTGAAAAAATCCTGTTTCAAGTAGAAGCTCCCAATGAACTCACTTATTCCAGCTCTGCAAGCAAATGCCTGTAACATGTGCGTGTTATCATTTCTGTAAAACCATCACTGTGCCATGTTTGTTGAAAGCTTTCCATTTTCATTTTGTTAAGCCTGATTATGAGTTACACTGTGGCAATAATTTATCTCATCTCCCATCTTACTGCAAGGTTGCTTTCTTGCTGAGCACCTCTCCTACAGAGAAAGGCTGAGGAAGCTGGGCTTGTTCAGTCTGAAGAAGGCTTTGGGGAAAGCAATCGTTGCAATCTTCCAGTACTTAAAGGGAGCTCATTAGCAGGATTGAGACCGACCTTTTACCCAGCCTAGTAGTGATCGGACAAGCGGGACGGCTAGAACTAAAAGAGTGGAAATTTAGGTTAGGTATTAGGAAGAAATTCTTTACTCAGAGGGTGGTGAGGCAATGGTACAGCTGTCCAGCTGTGGGTGCCCCATCTCTGGATGTGCTCGGAGCGAGGCTGACAGGGCGCTGGGCAGCCCGATCAGGTGGCTGCCAGCCCTGCCAATCGCAGGCGGGGAGAACTTCACCCACCCTACGACGGCCCCCAGCCCCACCCGTTCACGCTGAGCCTAGCGCCCCGAACGTCACGCTCAGTGCGCATGCGCACCGGAAGTTCCCGCCTTCCTTCCGGCGGCGCATGCGCCGAGCGCGCCGCCCGGCACAGGGTCGGGGCCGAGAGAGGGCCGAGGCGCAGCGCGGCATGGCGGGAGGCGGCGCGGGGACAGGCCTGGGTTCGGGCCCGGCGGGGCACGATGTGGAACCAGCGGCCCCGGAGCGAGTCCTCTTCCCGCCGACCTTCAGCGTGTCCGAGATCAAGAACAAGCAGCGGCGGCACTTCATGTTCCTTCGCTGGAAACAGCAGCAGAGGAAGGTGGGCGCTGGCCGGCGTGGCGCCGTGAGCGGGGGGCACCGGGCTGACGGCTGACGGCTCTCCCTCTCCTTTCAGGAGAAGCTGGCGCTCAAGAAGAAGAGGAGGAAGGAGCGAGAAGCCCTCGGGGACAAGGTGAGGGCCTGTGGGGCGCGGCCTCGGCGGAGCCCTGCGTGGGTCGTGGGTGGCGGTGCGAGCAGGGCCCTGTCAGCGCCCGACAGAGGGGTCGCTGCGGGCATCGCCGCGGGCGTGCTCTCATCCACAGTGCCTCGCTGATCTGCTGTCATGCAGCCTGCCCAAACCATGCGCACACCCGTTGTCTGCTTGTCCTTATTGGCTTCTTTTCCTAACCTACTGCAAAAACATATTGATGGTTGGAAGGAAGTTGTAAGTTCCTGTATTATAATTCTACAACAGCAGCACGAGTAAAGGGGTGAGCGTTGTTACATCCCAGCTGTCGTTCAGTTGTGGGTGCAAAGACAGCATGTTCCTGTTGCACACAGATCTTCTGGTAGCACGGTCTCGTGGTAGCTTTTGCAGTACTTTACAGTGTTGCTTTACAATGATGTGAGTGTGTTACATTAATAAATCTACGTTTATTTTAGGCACCTCCGAAAGCCATTCCAAAGACTATTGAAAATCAGAGAATTTATGATGAAACAACTGTAGATCCCAATGATGAAGAGGTAACTGTTTAATTTTTGCAGATGCTGTTAATTGTTTTGTTTTGGTTTGTTTTTTTTTCCACAAAGAAGAGCCTTAAAATGTATGGATAAAATTCATTATTCTTGACTTTTCTGTTAAGATGTTAATGGTTTACTTTTCATGTGCTGGATTCATCAAAACACGATGTCCTTTTTTTATTATTTACCTTAAATAATTGTCCTTTAAGTTACAGCTATTGATGGCAAAACCTGTCAGTTTTCTTTATTCTGGACTGTTTAAAATGCAAAAACCACACGTCTTAGAATAAATAGTTATAGGACAGAACTTGCAAACTGGGATTTCTCTTGTTAAACTTCATTTCATCAAATTAGATCAGATTGAACAACTGTTCTTCAATTATTTAATATGTGACAAGCCTACTTTTCTTCTAGGTTGCTTTCGATATAGCGACTGATGAATTTGCACCATATTTCAACAGACAAACAGTTCCAAAGATTCTTATTACAACATCAGACAGACCTCGTGGGGTGTGTATGCCATGCTCAGATTGTTCTGAGCAATCAGTTGCACAGTACCGAAGTTTTCATGTGATTAATTAATTACACTTTTAGTATAGAAATGACTTTAAAAAACACAACTTCTTTGTATGCTGTCAGTAGAGACAAAGGAAACTTGATGAGCAGGAGATACTTTGTGCTAAATTGTTAGATTCTTTTTGGTCAGAAAGTGTCTCTTGGGTTCTAGCACCATTCAAGATGGGTTTAATCTAACTAAGGTTTCTAATCTCCAAGTTTAACATGATGTATAAGTCCATGATGACTGCATACAATCATATGTAGGAAAAAACTACAGAACTTGATATTTCCTTGGGGTTTATTTTGCTGCTGTTTTTAATTTAGTGACTCTTGGGAAACTTTATGTGTATGCAGTCCGTTAGCTCCTTTAGCACTGTTTGTTTCATTAAAAAGCTCAAGTATACGTTCCTGTATGTGATGGTGTGCGTTACCTAACTTGGAAGATTTCTGACGCTTTGTGAAAACCATTAGAAAGTGATTTTAGAAATAAGAAACTGTGTATCTCTTAACAGGTTCTCTGGAAGTTCAGATGTATGTATAGTACATGAGGCAGTATTTCTACTGAAGTACTAACAACGCCTTGTAAAACAAGATCCTTAAAAATAACGATTTTATGTTATGATTTTGTAATTTTCCCATTTCACTATGAAAAGAAAACAATCCGTTCCAAAAAGCTGTCCCTAGTGTGTTGCAGTTACTGCCAATAAATTAGTTTTCCAGCAACTGAATGAAACAATTTGTTAGCCTGTTGATGGCTTTTTATTTCCAGTATCTCAGTTTGCATCAAGGAGAGCAGTCAGTGAGCAGTCCTCTGTCCCACCTCGTATTTGGGTTTGTTGCTGTATTTACTGCGTTGTGATTTAACTCATCTGCTTTACAGAGAACAGTGAGATTCTGTGAACAGTTGTCCTCTGTTATACCCAACTCGCATGTCTACTATCGCAGAGGATTGGCTTTGAAAAGAATTATTCCACAGTGTATTGCAAGGGACTTCACAGATCTAATTGTCATTAATGAAGATCGCAAAATACCAAGTATCCTTTGTGTATATACTAAACTGAATGCAATGTTAGCTTTAGGCTAAGGGGAAACTTTTTTTCTTCAGTGTGTGTGTCTTAAGATCTCCTTTATTCTGGATTTTTTTTTCTCCATTTTGCTGTTTATAGGATAATTACAGAGTTAAAAATCACTGTGCCAACTGAAGTATCTGATGGTTAGTGGCACTTGAAATTATTAAATTTTGTTGTTGTTTTTGTTTGTTTCAGTAAGCTTAGCTTCCCTTCCTGACCAGAAAGTTTCATTTAGTTTTGCTGACTTGATAAGTACTGAAAAGATGACAGAATATAACAGGTTAGCTATTGAAACAAACCTTAATGGATCTGTTTGAACACTAGCTAACTAGTTTCTGAATGTATTTTGGAAAACATAACTAAACCTTGTAAATTAGGCATAGCTAATGGATGTAATATGGTGATACCATACCGCATTTAACAGAACGTGCTTCTCCGTAAATTACATTTCAAATTTTACAAACTTTTTTTTTTTAACTCTATGAACAGATGGGCTTGTTTTAAGCCACCTT